AGTGGTATCTGGGACCTTCTGAACTTTACCTAGTAACCTCTGCATCAAGCAATTCTTTCTGTTTCAGTTATGAAAAAATATGAAAAAATGGTCTTTTGATAGCTGGCACCAAACTGTAGAGTAATACACAGCTTATGTTCCTGACTTAGCTGAAGCAAGAGCCATGCTAGATGTTTTATCTTGGCTGAGTATTTAACTGCATTATAGATAGTGCATCTTCTGAAACTGAGTGAGAAATACAAGTACCAGTCAATGCAAACAACTTTCACAACTTATACTGAAAGAGCACTTGGCTGTGGAGAGAACTGGACAGGAAGTAGAATCACTGTCATTCAGTCTTCAGACTGGGGTTTAAGGCCTTTTACGGGCTTGATTTGAAAATCACCAGACAAAACTCAACAGCTTAGTTTACGCTGAAAGTCAAACAACATGGTTCTGATCTTAAAAGGTCAGTATCGTATCACAGGAAAATGAAATGTACTCTCTGTCCATTAATTGTACATGGAACTCTGCACTCTTATTTCAGCCCTGAAATTCTGAAGATTGACATGCTTAGTTAAGTTGAAATAGCTTATTATTTGTAGTTTTGAACTCTTACAGCCTCTTTCCCACAGTGAGGGTGATACAAATGCCAGCAGTAGATATAATTATAAAGCAGCTTGGAGTGAAAAAACTCCTGTACATAGACTGATTAATTATTTGTCCCTCTATCAATCAGTAGGCATTTATTTCACCTCCACTTTCCTTACTACTCACACCTGCTCTAAGCACACATCTGTGCTCCATTTGTGAAGCACATGATCTAAGTTAACAGTACTTGACCTGCTGGTTTTGTCAACACTGTCTTTATACTTCTCTAGTTTGATGTTAAAAAAAAAAAAAACAAAACAACAAAAAAAACCCCAAAAACAAACCTAAAAGAGCTGGTCCCCATAGAAGGAGTTCAGATGTGCAATGGGTATTTGCAGTATATGGCACTCAGCTCTGCTTTTAATCAGATTCCAAATAAAAAAAAGCACAAAGGAAGATATCAAGGTGGAATAAAGATTACTTAACCAGGGGAACTCCCTTCCTCTTTCCTTTCTTATCATACGCATTAAGATCACTATTTCATTTTGAGACGTAAAAGCTGTGTTGCCCCTAGTTTCCATTTGCTTTGAGTCTTGGACAAACATGGCTGGATTTCCATGTGTGGCATAATCTTCACAAATTCAGTATGTCATGAACTTAATTCGTCATTTTGCATATTTTTAAACAATGCTTCGTGACATGATTGTTCTCATTCAATAGATTCAGAAAACTCTCAGTGCTTTTTCTATTTGTTTATTTTTGTCGGTAAGATCAATAATTCATTGTGGATTTCAGTTACAGAGATGATGACCATAGATTTTCCTTCCCTGACCACATGCATGTTTAAACCTGCCTTTACTTTGAGTAATATTTTATCTATATTTTACCTATCGCTAAGTCTTGCCTTCCCCATGCATTGTAAGTAATTTCTCAGTCTCAATGTACTCAAAGAGTATATGCCAAATTAAATTTTGTTTCAGTCCAAAAGAAGATTTTTATTGCGCTCCTTCCATCACTCCCTGTGAAAGTTTCCTGTGGAAGAGTGAAGAATGTGTTACTAGAGTTGTTACTAAGACAACTCTCATGGGAACTGAAAGCAAACTGGCCTTGGGACTTTTCAGAATTTTTGCTGAGGAGAAGAAACATATTCATAATCTTCCTATAAGCTTTTCTCTCCTTTTTTGATGGGTAAGAACAAACCAGATAAAAAAGCCTGAAATACTGTCAGCTTTTTACTTCCCACCACATTTTAAAATAATCCTTCATAAACTTCATTATATATATATGTATTTCTTCATAATCTAGCATGTTTCCAATAGGGCTCCATGATGATCAATCAGAGGGTCAGATAATCCCAGGGAATACTTGGGGATACAGCTGGAAAATAAAATGAAAGTAAAGATAAGGGTCTTTCAGCATGTAACCACCGGCTCGTTTAATGAGATTTATTTCCAGGCCTGAACCCACCTAACCATCTGTTAGTACAAAAACCCACTTGTGGGAACCCACACTTACTGGGAAAAAACATTGACTGAACTTGGCAGCAGCTTCTCATTTAGGAACAACTGAAAATGAGGGACAAGCTTTGCACTCTTTTACCTCGTATATCCCCTTCAAAAGAAATCCAGAGGATGTCAACAGTGCTTTTGTCAATAGATGCTGGTGCACTCTGACCTGAATTCATCAGGTTTTCAATAAGCTCAGTGTGGGTAGTGGGGAAGCAGCCCTCGGAACTAGAACTCTCCATGTCCTTGGCCACTCTTCCTGAAGTCTGACATTTCAGGAATTATAATGCCAAAATTTCAGAAACTACAATGGGGAATAAGCTGCCTATGCAGTCATGCACAATGAAAAGGAAGCTATTGTCAATAATACCGTATGGTTCTTTTTCCTCCTACAGCTCTGCCAATTGACAGAGAAAATCACCTTCTTGACTGTCCTAGATGAGAGCAAATCTCATTAAATCTAAACAACACGCCTCAGAATATGGCATCCTTTCTTTTAACTACTATACGGAATGTTCTTTCTTTTACCTGCTATTCTACATGAACAGTCTGTGAGTTGTCAAGATGACAGAATTAGTTACTACAGATTTCCAGTTAGTAACAAAAGCCCCGAAGTAAAACTGCAAACAAACCAGCAGAGATGCTGCAAAACTCTTCCAGCTATGCCCTGCCGAATCTGGATGAAGCTTTCTATACGGAGAAATAGGCAGTTCAGGTTTGCCTCTTGTTGAGACTATTGATTTTGCGTGAGCAACCAAGAACAGTATTTTCAGTGCACAAGATTCCATGTTTCCCAGTTCCAGGATGATCTGGTTTAGGATGTTTTATGTTGACTAAAAATTGTCTGGCACCAAGCCTGTTAAGCAAAAGCCACTTTATAGCAATAGGACTTGCTTGAGAAAATTCTGGCAGATACTGGAATTCATAAATGTTTTTACATCAAGTTGGAATGTTGTTACAGATTAAAGAAGAACAGGAAAATTAAATGGGTCTTCTCTTTAAAACAGGGAAGGCAGGCTTGATGAGGATGACATAGTTTGGTTAGGGGTCAGTAAGGTACAGGAACTGTTACAGAGAAGAAAACAGAAACTGGGTTCTGCTACTGACCTGCTGAGCAATTGAGATCCTTTCATCACCTCCTCTGCCTTAGTAATTCCTGTAAATTGTTAGTAATGCTATCCTCTTAATAAAGCAGGCTAAGAATAAGTGCTGGATCAGAGCAAATCTTAATCCTGTAATTTAAAGGCTTCATTCTGATTTGGGTCTTATGTTTAATTGTGAGGTCTGACTGAAGATGCTGTAACTACAAGTGGCTGTAAAAGCTCTCTCTTGATTAGCTAATGCCTAAATCTAGAAGTAACCAAGTTCCATAGATTTTTCATGTGAAAATTTTCCCAGCTTCTACATTTGTATCTGGCTTTTTCATATTTGATTTTCTGTGTCAGGCTGTCTTGATGGGTGTTGATTTCTTTGCTCCCATTTCATGCCTGCTCCAATATTCCCTCATGCAGACTCCAAAGGGGAGTCAGTCTGTAAGCATTCTTAGATGCTGCTTATCAGTACTATACACAGTGCCTATGCTCCAAAAATCCAGTAAGCTGACTGTCAGGACACTCTCAGGAAAACCAGGGAACTGAGGCCTTTCATCCACCCCTCTGGAGGAGAGGATAGCTAGATTTGTTTACACCTGCAAAGGATGAGTAGGCTTCTGTATAAAAGGGAAGAAGGGGCTTGCATTACATACCTTACCATCTTTCTGGGGAGGAGGTAGGGAGAGAAATATAAAGGAAGGAGCTCAGGTACTCAGCTGTAGAAGAGAGTTTCGTACTGTCACAAAGACACCTTGTTACCCCACCTAACCGAGCATTTAATAAGGCACCGTGCTCTGCAGGCAAGACAGTTTGAAAACACACCTAGCAGAAGGCAAAAGCCCGAGAAGGAGGCAAAGGGTCTAACCGATACTCCAAGGTGGCAGTTGTTCTGGTTCCTTCCACAGAAGACAATTCTTCCTGTGTAAGCTCAATATGTTCATGGTGGTTGGTTGTGGGTGGAGTGGTGTTGAGTAAGCTGGTAGTTATGGATACCATTGATGTATCTGCCTTTCCCCATGTATTGCAGGTGATTGTGGGAGAATGGCACAAGGTTATGTGCTGTGGCAAACAGGAACCTAAAGATTGTATGTTGCCACATTTAATTATTAGTCACTTAAATTCCTTTTGCCTCTAGGTCTGTGTGGTTAGGAAGCAATGGTAAGTGTAAAAAATAATCAGAGGTTTAAGCCTGAATATATAACTAACATATGGAAACAAATACTTACTTGACTGATTCAAGACATTGAAGGGAATATGATCTATTAAATGAGGCATCACTCCGACATGGAATCACTCTGACATGGAGCCTCAGGGTCTCTGAGCCCATGTTTGGGCTACGGACAGGAAAGAATTTTGGGAATGGAAATCTCCCAGGATAGAAATGGGCTTCCCATTTGATCTGTGCAGTTCCCCATTTCTAGGGTATGCAGACACACACACACACACTTGTTTTGGTTTTCCTCTTTCCAATCACAGTTCAAATCTGGATTTTAAGACTAGGGAATGAAAATCTCTTATCTCTGTCCTTTTCCTCCCACAAAAAAATCCACGAATGCCACTTTAGGTTCTGAGTGAGAGCTGCAAAAGCTGGGTTCTTACAGCACGCCTTACTTGGAACTGTTGTTCCTTGTGTTTGGCAGCCTGTCCAAAATACTGTGATAGTCTGCTCTGGTCCATCTCCAGTATCAACCTACCGAGTAAGGCATGAATCCAGCATAAACTTATTGCTTAAGAGAAGAGCATAGAAAGTCTCCTCATAAATCATATTATGTTAAATTAACCTGATCCAAGTACATCTCAGTGGAATTGTTTCATCTGAAAACGAAGGCCCTACCTGTTTCCCAAAGGTGTTTGATCCCATGGCCCTTTTCTTGGAAGCTGTTCAGCTTTGACTACTCTTACCTGCTGTTGCAAGCTGCCACCCCCATGGCTCTGTTTTGACGGTAAAGCCTCTTCTAATCCCTGAGGATCATGCAACAGGAAAGGAATATAACCGTGAAATCTCTCAGCCTCTGACTTGGCTCCCTTCCCCTTTCTCTCACAGACTTGACACAGTAATGATTATTTTAATGTGGCACTACCCATTGCTGCCTAGTGGACTCTGTGAGGGAAGACACCATTTGGATGTCCTCCAATGCAGGACCTGTATTGTTAGGGCTGTCCTTTTTGTTACCATCCCTTGATATTTCCCAGGCCCTCTCCTGCCCTATATACATCCTATTTAGCAGGCTGTTATTTGCCTTGTTGTGTGCCTCCCTGTTCCCATCCTATGCCTTTTCTGACCAAACAGCCAGACGCTGCTTGAAGTGGGGATGGTTGCAGACAGCAGCCTGGGTACAGGCTGTGCGATTTCCTTCATCTCACAGCTCAGCGACATGCCATTGCCGGCAGGGCGGAAGAGCCGTGTCCTACAGGCCGTTGCCCATGACTATGTAAATACAATGTGCTCTTGCGCCCAGCCAAGCGAGGAGATGCTGTGGGAGGCCAGCAGCTCCTGCAGAGCTGACAGACACTTTATCTGCAGGAGTGTGTTCATGGATGAACGGGGAGAAGGAACAAGAGGCAGAGACGCAGACTTTATTATCTTTGTATGCTTATACATTGTTGGGCTGCTTGCATGATCTTTTTGGGGGCTTCATGAAAGGATCAGGGCCAGCTGAAGTGTACTCTTTGCTTTCTAGTTTCTGAATTTAGATGGATTTTCCAACTTGTCTTTTGCTGCCATTGCTGAAAAGGTGCTTTAATGCACAAAGCAATCCTGTGTTTTGTTAAGTGTTCATACCTACCGCCTTTGGACTTCAAGGAACACAGCGACCATCATGGCCTGGCCATGAGGCCCAGGAAGCGCCGGTGCCCACCATTACAAGAAACACTAACTCGTTCCGCGGGCTGGGGGCAGGGGCTGAGCCCTCGCCCGGATGCCCTCTCTCTGCCTCCTCTCCTTCCCCGAGCCCTCCGCCGCCTTGGGAAACGCCGTCCCCGCCG